TGCTTGGAATTAGGACTTAGAGGAAGATGAAGTCTTCTGTCGGTCATCTTTAATTAGATAACCTTACAAAAATTCCTTGGTCAGAAAATCTGGCAAATCATTTTCAGATCCTTTAATATGTTTAATATCAAAATAAAAAACCGACACAATAGCTTGCCATCTAGCAAAAATTTGTTTTGAAACCAAGTTTTTCACATTCTTTTCTAAAATATCTTTGGCTGATTTGCAATCAATTTGAAGAGTAAAATGTTGGTTTATCAAATCACTTTGAAATTTAGTGATGCAAAGGACTATGCTGAGCATTTCTTTTTTTACAGTAGAGTATTTTTTTCTAGGTATCATTCCAGGTTCCTGAGGTGAACCGGATTATCTCATATTTTCCATCTCTTCTTTGTTTTAGGATTCCTCCATATCCTATTTCACTAGCATCAGTTGCCACTATCTTTGGGGATTTTGGATGAGGGATATTGAGGCAGGGAAAGGTTTTTACCCTTTGTTTAATTTTTCTCACTTTTTGAGTGAATTGTTCGCTCCATTCTGGAGGATTATTCTTCAATCATTTTTCGAGTAATTGGTGGTCTTGGGCTATTCCTCTATAATAGTCTGCTACATAATTTAGACTGCCTAAGAATCTTTGAAGTTGGGTTTTATCTTTGATCTCGTCAGGGAATTTATCAGCAAACTCTATCACTCTCTGGATGGGCGCTATTGTTCCTTTAGATATCTGGAATCCTAAAAATCTAATCTCTGTTTGAAGGAGTTTCATTTTCTTAGCAGATGTTGTTAATCCATTTTCTTTCATCACCCGGAGGAATATATTCAAATATTTCTAGTAGGCCTTTATAGATGAAGAATAGATCAATACATCATCAATATATACTATTATGAATTGAGTATAGGGGGTGAATATTTCATTCATAATTCTTTGAAATTTAGATGGGGCATTTTTCAGCCCTACATTCCACTCATAGTGGCCGAAAGGCACTATGAATGCAGTCTTGTATCTATCCTTTTCTTCTATTATAATCTACTAATAACCTGATTTTAGGTCGAATTTTGAGAATATTTCTGCGTCATATAGACGGTTTATCAGATCATGCTTATTAGGAATGGGGTATCTAATCCATCTTAAAGCTTTATTGAGGGGTTTGTAATTTATTACGAGTCTTGGTACTCCTCTTTCTATTTCTGTTGCGTTTTCTACATAGAAAGCATGGCAGCTCCAAGGGGATTTGCTTGGTCTGATTAGACCCTTCTCTAATAAATCTTGGATTTCTTTCTTACAGATTTCCAATAATCTGTTATTGCAAGGAAAGAACATTTTTTATGTCTTTGGTTTAATCTTCTTCTTGATAAGAGACGAAGGGGTTTCCAAGTTGCTCATGGCTAACCCAACAATCGGAAAATCATTTGTCGTTTCAATGAGGGGTCCTACTATTCCGTTTGGTTTATTGTTCTTTCATCTTGAAAGAACCTATTCTATGTCTTCACTTTTCTTGGAGAGATTAACAAAGGAAAAAGAAGTTCGGAGAGATTGATGAAATTTTTTAATCAATTGGGTTTTACTTTGAAAATTTGAGGAATGGTAGAGGGTAAATTCAACATTTCATTTTTTCTGTTAGTATTTAACGCTAATGACAATTGTCAGAAATAGTAGGGGTACTTTAAGACAATATATAAGCAGTAAAGGTAGAGTTAGTCAATTAGATAAACAGGAGGGGTAGTTTAAGAAATTTACCTATTTAAATTTATGCTAGAATAAAAAATATGAAATATATTATATGAATATGTTCGTAGTTGTATAAACATATATAATCATAATATAATATGTTTTATATTGTACCTTTTTCAAAAAATAATAATTTGGGTTGGAGTGACTTTTGGTTAGGATTCAGTTGAGCCAAATCGAAATTAAATTCAACCCATTTGATATTCCTAAGTGCCCATTTGGGAGAGGCTTTTTCTATTCCAAGGTAGGCCCCATATGGTAACACCAAATAAGTTGTGTTAGGTGAAAATCCAAAAAGTCGATCACTATGTTCTAGATGCCAAAAATACAGAGGTTTACTACTCGAAATAAGAAACTACTCTAAGTAGCTTTTTTGGAACACAGTGTTCAACCACCACAATTGAATTACCGCACCTCGCCACCATTGTAGAGTCCTCCCAAGAATGAGAGGAGAAACAATCATGCATTTATTCTTTTGCTAACTTTGCCAAGGCTGTCTGGTTTGGTTGGAGATTCTCATTGCGATCCACAAACTCCAACTTACAAACATCATTGGTGAGAGGTGGACAGCAACAAATTTAGGGTAACTAAATACGATGGTTGTTCTATAGGCTGTGGAACCAATTGTAATGCCCCACGGTAGTGATATAATACATGAGGTCTATAGTGAGAAATTAAATGGTTGCCAGTCTCATATATTTTATTACTAACATGGAAAGTTATCATTGATTCCACAATTCATCGAACCGAACATCATGTACTAGCTCAATATGTTGTTAGGCATAATATATAGATCCATGACATGTTTCATACACCTATTTTCTTGACGTCGTTGGTTTCCAATTAGGGCTGCAAATTGGGCCGGGTGGTTGGATTGAGGCCAACCCTAGCCCAACCCTAAGTTCTAAACCCCCAACTCTAACCCTAACCCTAACCCTAACTAAATTCCTTCAACCCTAGCCCAACCCAAAGTCAACTTCGGATTGGGCTAAGCAAGGGTTGGGCCCACCCCAACCTTCTTCTCATCCCTTAAAATCTCGTAAAACTTCTTAATCTTAAATCTTAACTCAACTTTCATTACATATATTAATCCTATGTTTTATTAGCACTTGTTTGTTGATGCTTTTATTGGTTCTTTAAGTACAAAATTCCGAAAAATAAAACAAAAAAGTGTTTGAAATTATCAAATGACTATAGTTTAGTATGGTGACTTATAATGGATCTTTTATGGGCAGCAAGCTATGGGTGGCAAACAAGAGAGAGGAGATAAAGAATAAAATATTCAGAAAACATAAAATATGTTATCAAGGTTTTAGTGTTTCCAATTAGGATTAAGTGAAGTGATCATCTTAAATTATATAAATGATAGTATGTGGTGGTGGCTCTACAACTATCATGCATCTAAACAAATCAATGTACTATAGTGTCGGATTTGGATTGGATCGAGTTGCCCGAGGGGTCAAATTGGGTTCATAAGTTTCAACCCTAACCCTAACCTGAGCATCAACACAACCCAACCCCTGACTTTTTCAAGTTGAGTTCAGAGTAACCCAACCCCAATTTGCAGCCTTATCTCCAATGAGATGTAATTTTTTTCTTGCCTTTGGGCTTCAATATTAATAATAATAAAGAAGTAAAAGTAAAAGCTGTAACAAATTTGAATTTACTGCAGACAAACAATGCATTATGGAGACGCTTTTCTCTATAGTTGTTTATTCTCATCCTGTGAACAAAAATAACCTATCCCACGAGAAAAAGAACCACAGTTGATTTGCACTGGATTCGGGGCTTTATTGGCTGCTGTAGCAAAAGATATTGAAGTTGAGGCACACGCCATCGTCCACGTCGAAGGCCTCCTTGGCGTTGTTTCTAGACGATTTTCTTCCATTTATATTATTAACTATAGAGGGTGATGCTAAACAAGTCACTAAGCTCCTGCAGGTGTCGAGACAAATCCCTCATTAGTCATTATTTTGTTTGATTTGCCCTTAGGATTTGTGCTGTGTAACTTACTCTTTGGCTCAGTAGCAATTGCCCATCCCGGGTTATATGCATGGATGCTCCTTTTCTTTTTAGTGTAAAATACAAAAAAGCCACCACTGAAGTTTCTGACAATTATAAAAAATCTCTCTGAAGTTTTAAAGAACTCGACAAAAACCTCCCTTCTGTCATTAACCCAGATGGAAAACCAATAAATAAAGTTCCGAAATTCCCCCTGGTTAAGGAATTGCCCCAGTTTGTCCAATAGGATCCTCTGTGTGTTTAAGTCTCTGTATGCGACACCATTATCGTTCATGAATTTCAAACCCTTGTGCAATATCAATGGTGATTCTTATAATCTCCTTAGTCTGAAGCTTTTTTGTTTTTTCTTTTCAATGATGTCATGGACAGATCCCCCTTCCATCAGCTTAGTCCCCACGAAGAGCCCAAGATTTTCTTCAGTGCAAATGCCGTAGAACTGTAAAATAATTCCTTCTCTTTGGGGTCATGTGAGAACATACTCCCAAAGTTAGTCAATGCTCCCATTAGAGAGGCCTTAAATGTAATATCCTTGTGGATACTTTCAGACAACATTTGGCTGAGACAGACGAGCTGTTTCCAAGTGGATCCTCCAGCCCAAATGGAGCAAGGTTCACTACCCTGTATATTACATGACAAATCACAACCGAGGGAGGAGTCAAGGGAACAAGATAATACAGGTAAGCAACAAATTAAGCTTTCCTGGATTGAAAATCTTAACTAAATGAGTAGCCTGCAGTCTTAAATGGTGTGAGAAATGTTTCTAATTTCTCATAGCCATAATGTTGAACACATAAACAGAATGCAACTCTCTATTTAACTTTCCTATATAGAAAATCTGTTGGGACAAGACTTGGTTGGACAGCAATTATCTGAACTTTCAGCCTCTTAATTCAGGTTATCTGCAAGACTGATACCTTTGATGTTTCAATTGTAAGACCATAAGTTTCAAAATTCATGCTGAATAAAAGTTAAGGGCATTTATTTATTTGTTACAGCAATCAACCTTCTATCTTTTAGGCCATGTTCGTTTTTCGTGAAGTGAAGGGGGAAAGTTCCATTGACCAATTTACCTGTATTCGAATTCTAAAATTATGTGGGACCCACGGTAAATTTAATTCCCCCGGGTAAACGGTACCCTTACGACACTCGGGTAAATTGGTTTCTTGAGTGGAGGAGGGTAAGTAGATAAAAAAAAAAAAAAGAAAATCTCAAAATTGCCCCCCCACAACATATAAGGTTCAGAGTGTCTCTTCGACCTTTTCCCAGAAATCACCCCTTGGCTCTACGTTTCTCCTCTCTCACCTCTGGGCTCTTCGTTTCTCCTCCTCCACTCCGTTCTGCTTCTCCAAAAATCACCGCTGCGTTTCTCCTCTTCCACTCCATCATCTTGCTGCTGTTGATTCTCTCAGTTGCTACTCTGCTCGATCTAGTCATCGTTCCTGCTCCATCGTTGATTTTCCTCCATTCTTGCTGCTTCATCCTCCTCCACTCTGTTGCTGGCACTATTGATCCTCTAGAGTGCTATTTTGGATTTGAGATTTAATCTATTTTTCATTTCCGGAAATTCTTTTTTGTGTGTGTTTCTAATGCCTGTTCTCTCGGTTCATTTGCTTTTTTCCTCTTCGAGATGCTTTTGAATTTTCTTCTCTAAGATCTTTTTGAGTTCTTGTTCTTCGAGTTTATTCTCCAAGTAAGGAATTGGATTCGGGTGTTTCATTGGTTTTAGGTGCTAAGGATCTCCCAGTTATCGCCAGAACAGCGGGGAGGTTTGCCGGCAAAGCAATTGGGTATATTTAATTGGCTTGTGGACAGTTCGAAAATGTTTTGCAGCACTCTCAAGATAGGCAGGTATTTCTTCTCTGATCTTTTTCCATTTCTGGGTTGAACCCTCTTCCTTCCAAACAAGTGAAATTATTTGTTTGTATTTCTTATAGTGCACAGTTATATTTAACTCTTTAAACTAATTTGGATTGATATTATAAGAAATAATGTTATCCAATTTCTCATAATTAATGCTTCTTTATTTAATATTTACCTAGCTTGTACTTTATGTCTCTCAATTTCATTACTCTGCCACTGTCCTGGTTTTGGCATTGCACTATCTATCTAGTTCAGATAAGAAAGCTCTAAGATCATTTTGGAACTGATCATATTTCTCAGTCCTAAGGAGATGTTGATTCTAAATTATGTTATCTTGACATTTAGGTGCACAAAGAACTTCGAGATGCAATTGCACAACTAGAAGCAATTCCTTATGAAATACGGAGCATATCCGTCATGAATCCTAGTCCAATGACTCATAGGCTGATGGATAATCCAGAGACATCACCTTCTAGTAATGGTATTATAAAATGTTTTTTCCCTTGTCTTTTTCTTCTTATTGTATTTTATTGCATTGCTTCCTTTTATGAGTTTTGAATTGGCTATATTTTCTTTGGTGCTAGGCATTAGTGTGCCTGAGAAGCTTGATGAGAAGACAACTCAACTAATGCCATCCAAAAGGTTCTGCTTATCATACTGGATTTTTTTTCAATGAATGCTTTTCAAACTTATGATTATCATTGAAACTAGGCTTTTGCAAGTGATTTTTCCCAAGTATCTTGATGTATTTATGTACATCCTTCACTAGGACTATACTTCAACAACTTCAGGTTCAGCTGATTTGCACAGTCAAGCCACTACATATGCAAGATTGGCTGAATCTAGAGCTTTGAAGGCCAAGATGAAGGTCAGTTCATTGAAAGACAATAGAAATCTAGAGGAGCTTAATGATGAAGCTGGTCTTTTCACTGTTCTTCCTGTTTCTGCAGAAAGCACAAGGTTACTGCCAGATCGCAAGGGTAATGGTCCATCTAGTTTCATTTAATAGTCAAGCATATTAATTACTCCATGTTACTCCCAAGGTGTAGAAAATTCAAATGGACATTGCAAAATCCCTCTTAAGGAACACAAATTTCCCCAACAGAGGACCATCGCTGCTTCGGCTACCACTGATCCTTCTGACCCAAAATAAACTTCAACAACCTCCACCCAATACCCAACTAGTGATGCATGGACATGGACACAAGAGTTGGAACTCAATAAACTTTCAGTAATCTGACTTGGAAAGATGAAAAATGGATTCATAGACACACCTAAAATTGGAAATTTCTCATAAAAAATTGTCTTGTGAATTCTATCATCATATACTTATAGAAGTTTTCATAAGTAAATTAAAGTTTATTTTTGTTACCTACAGATATTCTATAAGAAAAGATGGAACCGACTGTGTATTTTAGATGTTCATTTATGTTAACTAAACAAGGAGAAAGAAGAAAAGCATTTGTATAAGTGTTCTCCCACCCATTAGAATCTATRGTGTCAGTATTTGACTTGAGTCCAACATAGACACTTCATCTGTTTAAGAGAGTCCATCTAACACTGTACTCAGCCACTTCTAAAACTAACATAGTCTCTGCTTGTGGGACCCTCTTCCCCTATGACCCATTCCTTTTCCCCTTTGTCTTGTTGGTAACCTTCAAAACCCCCTTTTGTTTTCTACTCTTGTCTTATTTTCTTTGTTGAACCATTGATAACATCTAGTGGATCATATTCTACTCTTTCCTCAGTATTCCCTAAAAGTTTCTTCCTTACCTAAAGGTCCCAAACCAATACTGTTCAAAGCCATCAGACCAACTTCCCAAGGCTCCAGCCAAGCATCATTATGCCCCCTCTATAATTTAAAATCCATTTCTCTCCATWACTATAATATGCTTGGACAAGATGAAGTTGTTGTGGTGGGAAAGAACCTACCCTGAACCCAGAAACCTATTCTAATAAGACTCAAACATCACGCTTTACCCATTTCCTCGGTGCCTTCGATGTTTGAAACCAAATTTCTTATCCGAAGGTTTTCTTCATCTTCATTCCCTTCTTCTTTGGAACTGCCCCAAAAACTCCCAGCTTTAATCTAGCAAAAACTTTTAAAACTTGCACTGTTTGATTAGTTTTCTGTCCCTCTTTACTGCATTAGGAATTTTCTCCCTTGGTTAAAAAACGTCCCTATCCGCGTTGATCCTTTCTAATTCAAAAATCGCATTCTTTACTATTATGACTCCATTTGTTTCACTGTGAAGTACAAAACATCTTCCAATCTGTAAAATTTCAGTTAACATTTGGCTTTTGTGACCAAAACCTTGTTTTATGTCCATTATACATAGAAATGAATACAACCTCAACTAAGCCTTGCCCCATCAATATGGTATCAACTACATGATGCCCGTTCTGTCATTCCATGCTGTTTAGTAACATATTCATTGTTAAATTATGAACCTTCATCCTCAGACCATTTCTCACCAGTTCAACCTATATACTTTTTGGCCTACCCTTAGCTCATCTAGGCCCTTCAACTTGCAATAGATCATTTCTCCTCACTGATGAACTTGTGCATATTTTGAGGATAACCTCTTTTTTATGTTTAGGCATGGATTATGTAGATATTATAATTTGTTATCCTTTTTGTCCAACAGTGGCTTCCATGTACATGTTAAAATGAAATGTGCTATTCAACTAGGTAAAATATCTGAACTCTTTTCTATTCACAAAAAATCTAGGCAATTCAAGGTCCACTGTGGAATTGTGTAGCATATGTATTAATTACAAATCAAAAGATTCAAAACCTGTGTGCAACACTCTATCTAGTTGGCTGGCTTCCTGTCCTTTTTTTTGTTGGGAGGGGGAGGGGAGGTAAGGACAAGTTGGCTTTCGAGAAAATGGATTAATGGATAGTTGATGGTTTAATTTATTGTTGGCCATACCTTTATCTTTCAATTATTCTCTTTAAAACAAAAGCTTGGCTTATAGAAGTTCATGGCTGCCTTTAGTTCATTGCAACTTCATTCTAATATTTATTATTGACTACCCAAAATAAGTTCTAATCTTTATTATTGATGCCAGAGCCCAACATTAATATAGTACAACATGAATGATGTGATTTCTGTCGTGCAATCAGTTACAGAGACCCATGGAATTTAGGGTTGGAGAAGTACTTAATATTAATCACATGGGTATGTTCAATCATATTCACATAATACAGCATATGCTATACCATGTATATGCATGTATGGTTTTTGTCATGCAAAGCATTCTATAAATTTTTGCTATTGCTTTTGATTCATTTCTTGTTCAAAGACATTAGTACTGTTTATATGATTTGTTCTATTAATTGGGATTTGTCTAGTTATATCTTCTTATTTTAGATGGAATATTCTCAACAGTTTTTGACATAGGGTGCAAATTAGGTTGCCAGATTTACACCAGACTCGGTCACTCAGGTTCAGATCCATTCAAAATTTAACCAATGCTCAACCCACGTGACCCAAGTTACACCCCGATTAGTATGTTTTTTGTATTTCATTCCAAAAATGAAAGAAAGAAACCACAAATGCAATATTGATATATTTACCTTGTATATACCATGTTTTGGTTGAAGCAATTGAAAATTCTAAATTTGATTGCATCTAAATTCTGAAGTGATTTGGCCTTCAAAAAGAAAAATCTGAAGTGATTTTGTACCAACAAGTTCTTCCTAACGTGCTTTATGCTAGGTGGGAATGTTACAGCAGTTCAAGACTTCGAGTGATGCTGTTAAAGCCTCTTGCTAGGTGGCATATCTCACCCACAAGTAATTTGATAGTCACTTTGTTATGCATGGGAAAGCTCATAGGGAAAGAGAGAGGAGTTACATGAGTTAGAGTCGATGATAATGATGATATGGAAGCAAAAGTTGAGCCTAGTAGCCGATTAGCTCAACTCTCTTTTTTATTACAAGGATGAATTTTTGTTTCTTAGAAGCTTGGTTGTCAAATGTTTCTTACAAGGATGAATAATTAGGGCACTTTTTTGGTTGTCAAGTGTTTCAGGCTCATTTTTGGTTGCTGTTTGTGGACCCTATCGAGCTATTTCAGGCTCTTTTATCTTCACAGTTCAATGATGGTTCAAGGATGCTGTTTGATCAAGAAGTCCAGATGCTCCCTTAGTTTTAGTTTTAGTTTCAGTTTTAGTTTTTTTTTTTTTTTTGGTTGTTTTCTTTCTTTCTTTTCTTTGTGCTTGTTCTCTTCTCTTCATCTGTTTTACCAAAAAAAAAAAGAAAAAACTGGAATGTATTTCCGTTTTGAAAGTAGAGGGCAATGAGTGCCTTTATCAAGAAGACTACTTGGTATATCTCTTGAGACGGTTGTAGTTTATCAGTTTTGGAAATTAAATAGTCGCTTGTGAAACCAAAGTGAAATCAGTTTTTTTGCTTCTTATTTATTAATTTATATTTTGAAAGCACCATTCTTTTACTTCTAATACTTCTATGGGCTGTTTGGTATTTGATGGCTAAGATGGCCAAATATTTTGCAGTTGCAATATAAGATCCCCTTCCTAATGGCTGATGCAATGAAAGGGTAAAATTGGAAAGAGATGAAAAAAATAACAAGTTACCCAGGAAAATGGGTGTTGCAAAAGAACATGTGAAAGTAAGGGATTTCATTTACCTGGATAAATCAAACAAAAAACGAACATTGGGTAAATGGAACATGGCCTTAGCGTTTTTCTTTTGTAGAACAGAACTAAACAAGGGAAAACAAAGAGAAAGTAATTAAGGGAAAAGGTAGCAGAGAGAGAGAGAGAAACATGCGTTTGGCGATGAATCTTCAAATCAAGGAACTCGACGTCAATAATGAACTTCCTGGTTAACAAAGTATCGATCACCCAGACAATCGTCGTTATTCTTTATCTGTTTGTTTGTTATTCCTGCAATATCAAGTAACATGAAAAGAGTTCACGAAGGAAGCAAGAAGCTGTTCTTTTGCCATGGATATGCAGTGTAAAAAAAGGGGGAATTTAACTAATTAGGCTCAAGTAAAAAATTAAATAAATATTGTGCAACCAGTGCCTTTTGATCTCCCAAAGAACATACGACTCGAATGATGAAGGATGCAATTGGGGGTTTATGCTTTTCAAAGCAGATTTCAGGGCGGTCTTGACCCAGGTCTTGACGGATTTCTCTTGCCCGGAATGAACAAGAACAAGTACAATCCTGAGAGAAAAACGCAGATGGCCACACTATCAAGTGCCCCCAACATGGCCGACAATAAAATAGAAGAGGTACAGGCAAATGTGGTCTTGAAAACAGATCCTTGAACTTCATCGTGAATAAAAATTGCAGGGTGGTCATTCACTGCTGCCTGGTCTAGCAGGCAAATGCTTCGGAATGCTGGAGATGAGCCTCTCTGGGAGCTCGCTACCGGGATAGAGCTGGACGCTACCTATTTTGGTTGTTTTTGTAATTACCACGTCAGCATCTTTTGGTTTCTTGTAATAAATGCTTATATATATTTAATCATTTAAGTTATGTTTGATTTGAAGGAAAAGGTACGAAATTCTTTACAAATCAAATCTTGTATAGATTTTCTTTACAGTATCCCAGTCGACGGTGGTTCACTAACCGAGTCTAGTTCCTTGGTGATAATCTGCAATGTCCAGCGAGCTTTTGCTATGGCTCCGTTTAGGAAGAGGGTAAATGCAAATAATCATGGTTCATGTAAATGCAAAAGTTAGGCTGGTTTAATGGTCATTTGTGCCCATGGTTGTTTGGTTGGAAGAAAGCAATATGAGAATGCAAAAGCAGGTATCCATTGCAAATCCAGAGAATGGGTCCCGCCATCATGCCATGGCTTTTTTTAGCCATTTCCCCCACCGTTGAAGTCCCAAGTATATTTGTATTCCCATAAATGAACCGTCTTAGCTAGGATATGTGGTCACCAGTTTGAACTAGATTTCACCATATTTTTTGGTTTTCCAATTTAACTTAGCTAGGATACAATAACGAGTGAGAACAAATGAGATTTGGCCTCTGTCGAGCCTTGTTGCCTGTAGCCTTGGGCTCCCCAACCCGACGGGGTCGGGTATGGGGGGTACTTTGGTGGGTTGGGGTCGAGGATGGGGAATGCAATCCCCGCCTCGACCCAACCCCGATTAATATATATATATATATATATATGTATATAAATAATATTATATAATATATAATTATAATAATTATTATTATTCATTTTATTAAAAGATTAAAACTTAAAATACAATAAAACACTAAAACTCTCGGCAGTAAAATACAAAACACTTCGACTTCGAATCTTTGACAAAGAGAAGAGAGAACTCTGTCTCTGAACCCTAGCTTCGTGCCTTCGTCTTTGTCGCCAGTCGCCAATTCGCTGACCGCCGTTGCTGTCGTCACTCGCCTGTCAGACATCGGACAGAGGATAGAGACACTTGAGTGATAAAGAAGAGATACTCAAAGAAGAGTTTCAGTTCTTTAATCTTCCTTCTACCTTCGTCTATCGTCGTCGAGTTGCCAACTGCCGTCGCCATCGACCCGTTGGACTCTCTCTCTCTCGTCACTGATCTCAACTCTCGCAACAGTCCTCTCTCTCTCTCTCAGTCTTAGACTCTCAGTCTTTCATAGTATGATCCAGGATGTGTGCATACATATCTCGTTGAGGATTTGGGTCTCCGACGGGGAATTCATCCCCATCGGGGATGGAGGGGGGACTTCTTTCCCCGTCGGGGATCGAGGGCGGGGATGGGGGCTGATTTGGGGGTTGGGGATGGGGAATGTAATCCCCACTATGAACCTGCCCTATTGCCATTCTTAGTTGCTTGCAAAACACAACAAAAAATACAAAACATTATTATCAGTAGATTTTTTTTCCCAAATACATGCAGGAACCAAGGGAAAAGTAGAAGAAAACCCAAATAGAATTTGGCCTCTATCTATTCTAAAGTCTTTGGTCTTTCCATCACTGGTGAATCTCCATGGGGAGGACATAGAACATACCTGAGATTTTCTAAGGTCTTCAGAATAGCTGACGACATCGTATGTCGATGTCAAGTCCATCGGAGCTTGAACAACAGTTCTCCATTTCCATCGTTGGAGGTTTCCATTGTCGAAGGTCGAGACGATGATAGATAGCCATTGAAAAGTAACCATTGTTGTGGTGTTCCTCGATGAGAAGATGTGAGAAAGAGAGAAAATCAATGTTTTGTTTCCATCGATGGAAAGTGAGAACACAGGTCTGCTTTCTTTTTTCTCGATGTACATTTACACCCCAAAATCGAGGGAAATACTGACAAGATTGCACATTTCCCTCAATTTTCAAGGTTTATTTAGCTTTACCAAATGGTGGGAAAACTGACCCAGGGTGCATATTTCCATCGAACTGGATTTTACCCTCTTCCCAAATGGAGCCTACGAAAAAGAATTATAATGCAATATAAAAGTGTTGCTTGAGTGAGGACAATTCCGGTATTTAAAATATTTTAATGATGCATTGACGATTAATCAAGGCTAATTTGTAACTTCATCATTTCCTATATGGGTCATTGACGAAAATGAGGTTTTTGTCGAATAAAAAATATTTGTATGTATATGTGTATGTTTTAATTAAGGCCTCATTAATGTCTTGGACCTAAATAAAACACTTGTAAATGTGCACTCTGAGCTTCTTCAGGGTTTCTTGCCTTGGCTTTCTGGGGTTTCGAAAACCGTAGTAAGCCTGTAGTTGCCTTGGTGAAGAAGGTGATCATCTAATAGAAAAGAGATTCATGGAGATAGTGATGAAACAAAGCTCACCTGAAGAAAAAGAAAGAGAAATCATCTTGGAAGGAAAACTTAAAAAATCCAAAATAAAAGCAAAAAGGCGGTCTATGGTAGAGTGTTATCGGACAGGAGGATGAATGTTCATGGAGTTTTGCAAAAAGTGATAAATTTTTGGACAGATTCAAGATACGAAGTGAAATGGATTGAAGAAGAAACTCTATGGTTTGTTTTTAAAAAAGAAAAAAAGATGTAAGCTTGTTCCTTGACCAAGAACCCTGGAACGTGAATGTATACCCTCTTTTGCTGTAAAAATGGAAACCTTCAGTTCCCCTAAACAAGCTTAGTTTTGGGGAGTTGAGGATTATGGTGAGGACTCTATAGGTTCCAATTGACAAAAGATTCTGGGAATGGGGAGCCAAACTGGTATCGGTGGCAGGAACATCAGTCAAAGAAGTTAGGGGAGAAGGAGAAAGTGATGAGGATTCAAAGGGAGAGGAACCATAGTGGGATAGATTTTTTTAAAATCAGGGTTGTCTTAGACATTAAGAAACCTTTTGCGATCGGGAACTATCATATAGCAGAAATGGGGAGAAAGAATGGTATAGGTTTCAATATGAAAAGCTTCTAGTGTTCTACTATCGATGTGGACTGCTAGGACACGAGGAACTGAATTGTAAGAGCATCTCGAGTAAACAAGTACTAGAAAATCTATCCAATACAATGGCTTGAAAAAGCTTGGAACAAGGGGAATGTGAGAGATTGAGCTATGTGCCGAGTCTGAGATTAGAGATGGAGAGAGATAAGTTCAATTTCATAAACAAAAGAACAGAAGGAATGAAGAAGAGAGAGAAGGAATATGAAAATCAAGAAGGCCAAAGGGAGGGAGGGAAGAGTGGTGGCCTATATTTAGTTTTCACAAAGAATCAAAGTAAGTTTGAAAGAGTGAGGTTGGAGCAAGAGGAAGAATCAGAGGGTCGCCAGAGCACATCTCGGATCGATCGGTCTTTCCAAAGATAGCAGAAAAGTGCAAAAGAAGATTGTTCCAGAAAACCATTGATATTAATGCATAGGTTAGAAATTTGTTACAAAATGAAGGCTCATTCCACCTGATAATATCATCGGAGAAAACCAGTGGGTTATTGGAGAAGGTGGCCGAAAAGGGTATGGGCATTAAGGTGACAGTTGAAGGAGTAACTCGAGGAGAGAAAACATCTTGTTGGGGTTAAAGCAAGGGGAGGATTCATTGGCACCGAACAGACTAGAGTGGTTCAGACTTGCTGAGGTGGCAAAAGGAACTGAAGTAGAGAAAGTATTAGATGGTACTGAGCTAACTGGGAAAGTGACACTCGAGAAAAGGACGGCAAAAGGGAAGGACCCTATGATAGAGATAGAAGGGTTAGAAGAATTGAAAAGATGAGGTAATGGAACTAGATGGAGGAGAATTGAAAAGGATTAAGATAAACCCGAATGCTTACACCAAACAGGCCGAGTCGGAAGATAGTCCAATCATAAGGGAGGATGCTAAATATGAGATTGAAGACTTCAATATAGATGAAATACTTGTAGAAAACAATTGTGACTACAAATTATCAAAAAAAAATCCAACACAACGAGAGCACCCAATGATTGATATGGAGGTAGAAAGATTG